TTTTTCGACTACTTCCGGTTTTTGGATCATTGTCGGGGTAGTTTTAACATGTTGTTTGGATAGTTAACTTTCTGTACCAGAAGTTTCAGAAACACCCATTGAGGTGTTTTCAAAACAAAGAATAATAGAAGAGCATTTTCAATAAATTGAGAATTTTTCAACTTTTTTCCAAGATTGAGGCTCTTTTGGACAACTTATGTTATTTCAATGCTTTTATTTTTGGACTCACGCCATAGTCCACCCATAGGACTCTGAGTAAAAACGTTGTTGTTGTGTTTGAGAAAAAGGCCTCTCAAAATGCTCCAAAACGGAAAATAATAGATTTTTGGTGTACCATAATTTATTTTCTAGTCATTTAAATCGTATCATTCAGATGTCATATGATAGTCCATTAATGGGGCTATCCAGCGATACTTTAGTTCTTTTGGTCTGCTAACATCTGATGGAGAAATCAAGTTTTTCGCAAGTGCGCTATTTTTTAAACCTTTTCTCTTCATTTTTTGCATACTTCCGGTATGGCGATTATTGTCGGGATAGTTTTAATAACCGGATTGGCTTATCAAATAGTCACAGGGCTATGTAATGATATATTACATTGTCTGATCAGATAAAATGCCCCTGGGAAATCCTCTGTTAAATGCAAAAATGTCAATATATCGAAAATTAAATTTAAATATTTTAATACATATTATACATCGTTAGAATCGTAATTACGTCAGCTATCTGAATATGTAACTTTTTTGTAAAAACATTTTTAAATAATAAAGTAATAGAGCATTTTCCCAAAAATGTCAATATATCGAAAATTAAATTTAAATATTTTAATACATATTATACATCGTTAGAATCGTAATTACGTCAGCTATCTGAATATGTAACTTTTTTGTAAAAATTTTTTCAAATAATAAAGTAATAGAGTATTTTCCAAAATTTCACGATTTTTCAACTTTTTTCGATTTTCAGTACGTTATGTTACCTATTCCAGAAATTTTAATGTCTTATTGGAAGAATTCATGCACAAGACTACCAGAGAGACTCTCGATAGGGAAAGTTTAAAAAAAATACTTGGAGCAGTTTTCGAGATACAGACGTTCAAAAACGCTCCAAATCAGAAAATACCTGATTTTTAGAATGTCATATATTGCTGCCCTCCCATAGGATCCGCGTGAAATGTGTATCATATGACAGTCGAATCCCGGGCCACCAAACGATACCTTAATTTCTTTAATCCGTTGATATCGGGTGAAGAAATCATTTTTTTCCCAAAAGCACCCATTTTTTGCGTTTTCTTCAAAATATCGGACATTTTTTCGACAACGTCCGGTTTAAGGATTCTTGTCGAAATAGTTTTATCAGTTGGTTTTGGACTATAACTTCATATCCCATAAGTTTCAGAAACGTCAATTCGGCCGTAAAACGAAACTCGGGCACACAAAATGGGCAGAAATTTCGAAAAAATTCGAAAAATAAAGGGTGATAACTCTGAATGAAAGTTATATTCCTGGAATCGGATTGCTTTCAGGTATCCAAAAATGTAGGTCAAATTTGAAAATTTTGAAAAATTAAAAAAATTGTCTCTTAAACAACGTATTTTCAAATTTCGAAAGACAAAAGTCATAGATGAATGTTCGAAATTGAAAAATGTGAGATAGCCATTGTCTCGAAAAAGATTTAGGGTTTCCAAAAATGTGAATTGTTTTAAAATAGGTAAAGAATTTGCGAAACCACGGCCGATTTTTGATTTATTGCTAACGTTCAAAATTCGGCCACTTCCGGTCGGCGCAGAAGTTTCAAAAATACTTTTTCGAGTAACCACCACATGGTTTCCAGAGAGAAAATTGAACCCCACATCGATATCTGTTTTCGATCATGGAGAAAAAGGCTCCTGCGGTAAATAATAATAATAATAATAATAATAATAACTAGACTTTTTTTTTTAAATATCAAATATATTTATATGACAACGGTTTCACCGGTGCCACGTTACCCTAAACATATGTCATCCGGTACCAATGAAACCATTAAACAGGTTTCCACATAAGCATTGCACACATCAAATAAAATGGACGCCGAATCAACCAAATCCAGCAATATCAATTCATTTTATACATTTGTTACATGTAAGTGTACAGTATTTCCGGTGATAATGAAAATGTCCAATTAGTTTTATGAAATCAGAAATGGCATAAGGCATCACATGGTGAAAATTTTATGTAAATCGAATAATAATTGCCACTTTTATAGACCAAAAACCTTGAAAAGTGACTTGTATAAAACCGTCTATTTCTCTGCAACCGTACAAGTTAGAAACCATTTTCTGGTATCTGTATGATCGTATGGGTTTAATCTATTTGTTGATTGGAATCAAATAACATTACAAATTAGACTCATTTGAATAAAATATCTGTTTTGAAGGCTAAAAATACAGTTTTTGCCAAAATGACGTTAAATCTTAAATTACTTGTATCAAATGGCATTAGGTATCACACAGTGAAAATTTTATGAAAATCGAATAATAATTGACACTTTTATGGACCAAAAACCTTGAAAAGTGACCTGTTGAAAATCGCCTATTTCTCCGCAACTGAACAAGTTAGAAACAATTTTGTGAAATCTATATGACCTTATGGATTATATTAATATGTGAATGTAAACAAAAAATTAAAATTATTAATACATATTAAATAATTCTTGTTTGAAAAAAATATTGATTTTAAAAGTTAAAAATGCACTTTTTGACAAAATGTCGTCACTGCCGGTGTCAATTTTAAATTGTAATCAATTTGATACGACGCATACTTGCTTTTTGAATCAAATGGTGTCACTTTTGTGAAAATCCAATAATAATTGACTATTTTACAGGCAAAATAACGAAAACAGTGACTTATGCAAAATTGCCCATTTCTAGGTAACTGCTTATATTACAAACTAATTTTAACATACATTTTCTTCGTATAGATTATATCTACAAGTTTATAAAAGTTACGTAGAAATATCTGAAAATCTGAAAAGCCTGAATGGGTTGTAAATAGCTCAATTTTACACCTTTTTTCACCTCTTAATCGAATTTGGTCGAAAATGAAATCGAAATTAAAAAAACTGTTCCCAACATTTTGTGCGCCTTTAAGGGGCACACTCTTTTAGTTATATCAGTTTTTTTAAAAAATAATATTTGCTTTCGAATATTTTTTTGACTACTTCCTGTTTACGGATCATTATCGGGATAGATTTAACAAGTGGTATGGGAACTTAACTTCCTGTACCAGAAGTTTCAGAAAGATCCATTGGACAGTTTTACCTCCCTTATACCATTAGAAGCAGATTTACAGATATAACGATTTTTCGAATTTTTCAAAGACTGTGGCCCTTTTGGACCATTTATACTATATTGAGGCTTTTATATTTGGAATCACACCATAGACCACCGTTAGGACTCTAAGTAACAGAAGTATAAGAAAGGAAATAAGAGAAGTTTTCGAGATAAAAGCGTCTGAATAGGGTCCAAAAAGGAAAATAATAGATTTTCAGCGTTCAATTATATATTGCCTAACCCGCGAATTTTTACCATTTAGATGTCATACGATTGTCCATTGTTCGGGCTCTCCAATGACACTTTAGTTGTTTTGATTCGGTGAAATCTTACGTAGTAATAACTTTTTTCGCAAGACCACCATTTTTTTCACTTTTTATGGGGTTTTTTTCTCAAAATATCGGATATTTTTTCGATAGTTTTTGGATCATTCTCGGGATAGTTTTAACAAGTTGTTTGGTTACCTAACCTTCTGTACAAGAAGTTTCAGAAAAATCCATTCAGCTGTTCTCCAAAGAAAGAAAAATAGAAGAGCATTTACAGTAATTTAATGATTTTTCAACTTTTTTCCAAGATTGAGGCTCTTTTTGGACCACTTATATTATTTCAATGCTTTTATTTTTGGACTCCGATAGGACTCTAAGTAAAAGAAGTTTAAGAAAAATCGTAGTTTTCGTTTTCGAGAAAATGGCGTCTCAAAATGCTCCAAAACGGAAAACACTAGATTTTTGGTGTACCATAATTTATTTTCTAGCCATCTAAATCGTATCATTCAGATGTCATATGATAGTCCATTAATGAGGCTATCCAGCGATACTTTAGTTCTTTTGGTCTGGTAAAATCTGATGGAGCAATCAAGTTTTTCGCAAGTGCGCTATTTTTTTTAAACCTTTTTTCTTTGTTTTTTGCATACTTCCGGTATGGCGATTATTGTCGGGATAGTTTTAATAACCGGATTGGCTTATCAAATAGTCACAGGGCTATGTAATGATATATTACATTGTCTGATCAGATAAAATGCCCCTGGGAAATCCTATGTTAAATAGTGCCAAAAATGCAAAAATGTCAATATATCGAAAATTAAATTTAAATATTTTAATACATATTATACATCGTTAGAATCGTAATTACGTCAGCTATCTGAATATGTAACTTTTTTGTAAAATTTTTTTTCAAATAATAAAGTAATAGAGCATTTTCCAAAATTTCACGATTTTTCAACTTTTTTCGATTTTCAGTACGTTATGTTACCTATTCCAGAAATTTTAATGTCTTATTGGAAGGATTCATGCACAAGACTACCAGAGGGACTCTCGATAGGGAAAGTTTAAAAAAAATCCTTGGAGCAGTTTTGCTGCCCTCTCATAGGATCCGCGTGAAATGGGTATCATATGACAGTCGAATCCCCGGGCCACCCAACGATACCTTAATTTCTTTAATCCGTTGATAATATAACATGTAATAGTCTGCGATATCACCTCTGTGGAAGCGAGGTTAAATAATGCTATTTCACACACACTAAATGTCATTGTGCTTGATAACGATAAGAGGATACTTGTTGAAACATCGTGCTTTTAAAATAAAACTAGTGATTGTATCCAAAAAAAACCGTGTTCTCTTATTGTAATAATGTAAGTAATGGTAATACAAGAAACAAGACTTTATACAGATGATTATTAGGAAGAAATACCTGATATTCCTGTGATCTAATACTGTTGAACGTATAATGGGAGAGCCTGTAAAATTCAAATCCAACTGATTACAGATACTGACAAAATACTGTACCGGTAAATAATTTATAAAAATAATTTTCATTTAAAGGCCATAATATATAGAACATTGCAGATAAGTTCCTAACAAAAAATATTACACATTAAATGATTATTATTATTACAAAGATCTATAGTGCACACCTGCTACATAAATGTATAAGAACAAGCCAACATTGAGACTGATGTCCCCCGCCAAAATCCCAAAATAAATAGATGACACATATTAATTAATCGCACATCTATTTTTTTCAAAAGTATCGAGCAATCAAACTGATTATCAACTTTCCACTAAGTTTCATCACTCTCTATAAGATAGAATCAAAGTTATCTTGTCCCAAAGCATCGACCAAGGAAATTGCCTATCTCTGCTTAGCTTTAGCTCGTTATGTTAATCATTGAACTCAGTCAAGACGAACATCTACATCAGGTTTAAACATTCTACCTCAATTAGAAGCAGAGTTGTCTTGACCAATCAAAATGCTTATTGCTCCTAAGCCTAAGCAAAAAATTCTCATCATCGAACTTAGTCAAGGTATCGATGTAATGAAACTATACACCAAGTTTCATCACTCTCACTTAATTAGAACTAAAGTTATCGTGCCCCAAAGCATCAACCAATCAAATTGCTTATCTCTGCTTACCCTAAGCAGAAAATGCTCATCTTCGCACTCCATCAAAGCATGGACATCATAAACACCTACACCAAGTTTGAACATTCTAGCTCAATTAGAAGGAAAGTTATTGTGTTCCAAAGTCTTGGCCAATCAAATTGCTTATCGCTCTGCTTAACCTGAGCAGAAAATGCTAAATATCGAACTTAATCAAGGTATTGATGTAATGAAAGTATACACCAAGTTTCATCACTCTCACTTATTTGGAACTAAAGTTATCATGTCCCAAAGCATCAACCAATCAAATTGTTTATTTCTTCTTACCCTAAGCAGAAAATGCTCATCTTCATACTCCATCAAGGCATTGACCTAATAAACACCTACACCAAGTTTGAACATTTTAGCTCAATTAGAAGGAGAGTTATGGTGTTCCAAAGTCTCGGCCAATCAAATTGCTTATCGCTCTGCTTACCCTGAGCAGAAAATGCTCATTATCGAACTTAAGTCAAGGTATTGATGTAATGAAACTACACACCAAGTTTGATCACTCTCACTTAATTAGAACTAAAGTTATCGTGTCCCAAAGCATCAACCAATCAAATTGCTTACCCTAAGCAGAAAATGCTTAACTTCGAACTCAATCAAGGCATTGACCTAATAAACACCTACACCAAGTTTGAACATTCTAGGTCAATTAGAAGGAGAGTTATTGTGTCCCGAAAAGTGGGACGGACAGACGGACGGACACACTGACAGACGCACGAACCCATTTTAATAGTCTTCGAAAGGCAGGGGACAATAAGATAAAATTCGACTTTACATTTAAATGATAAAATTGGACATACTTGATAAAAACAACATCAATAATGTCAAAAAAATGTTAATATTGTTTTCAAATAAAATTACATGCATTTGAAATAGCTCTAGATTAAAGAATCAGTGGGTAAAAGCCTTTTTCAATAAAAGAGTAGCAATTGAAGGAACGAATGATGCATTTGCAGAAAATGTAAAAAGAGCTCATCGCCATGCTATTGTGTGGCGAGAGAGAGAGAGAGAAATGGGGTTTAACGTCCACTCGACACAAACTAGGTAATTTCGGGACTAACATATGGTTTAATTTTTGTGATTTACATAATTCGCTTGCGCGTAGGGGTCTTTAGCAGTGGGAGGAAACCGGAGGACCCGGAGAAAACCCACGAGGTTGGACAGGCAACCCTACTCCTTGTCACGTACAACCGGGGATTCGAAACCACGCCAGTCGACTCAATGACAGACTTTATGATACAGCGCGCGCACGCTAACCATTCAGCCACCCCCCCCCCATATTGTGTGGCGTTCATTGGAAGATCGTAATCCGCCTGAACTTGATCCGGAACTGTATAGCTGGGTGAAGGACACTAAATTGAAAACATTACAACCGGTCACCCTTCCAGTTGATAATCAACTTGCTCCGGAGTCTGTCATGCGGCTCATCAGATGCGGATGCAAGAGTGACAACCCATGTAGTAGGCGTGCTTGTAGCTGCACTAGGGATGGCTTAAAATGTACATTATTTTGCGCTTGTGCCGCCGCAGGTTGCAGCCGGAAACACGACTAAAGGGTTAAACTGAATATTACCTATTTTTGGGAGTCATATTCGTCTTTTGCGGGTAGAATTTGGGTTTTTTTTTTTCGAAAATGTTAAAAAAAATAGCCACTGGTAGTCATGTATGTGGTGTCATCGTATCCGTCTTATGCACCTATGTCCTGAAATATATAGCTTCTCTCTAGACATAGCTAGGTTTGGTGAAATAATCGCTCCCAATCGCCGCTAAATGGTTAAGGGGCCATATTAGCCGCCATGTTGGATTTTACTATCATCTAATCACTCCACAACATAATAAATGATTCCAGTGTATTCCTTGACCCCAAAAACATACGGTTAGACACCAACATTATCACCCTAGACTAAATACTATGGGAGTTATAGGGGATAAATTGAAATGGCGGCCATCTTGGACGCCATCTTGAATTTCTCAAAACGCTCAAGGGTGACTGAGGTTCACCCGGCATATTCTGAAAGAGAATACCCTAGGCTACTAAAATCAATCTTGAAAAAAACTTTGTATACAATTTCCAGGTTCGCTCGAACTATTGGGTTTAGCGACCGGACTACATTGTACATAATGACTGGTAATGATATGATTTTTACATTCCCATATACCAGTAGATAGCCTACTGTTTGCTCCTGCTGAAACTTCGACTAGAAAATTCCTTGCAATTTCTTAAATCTTTAATCGAAATGGCAAAAACTTAGTGACGTACCTGGAATTTTCATCCCATAGGTTTATTCGTCGAACCTTTACTCCTAGAAGTTCCATTATTCTCTTGTAAATTTCACTTATTTTGACATTGTCCCATTCTCAGAACATAAATGAAATGAGATGAAATAGGGTTTAACATCTTACAGTTCTGTTCCTATACTTGGCTAATGAAGCCTGGAATATGTCATACAGTGTGCTATGAGGGAAATTTTGCCCAGGCAGCGGCACTATGGCCTACTCTCATATCGAATTCCAACTGACAAGGGATCTTTTACGTGCACAGCAATGCATACATGGGACCTCAGTTTTTCATCCCGTTCGAACGACTAGACAGCTGTCCTTTGCTACCTCAGAACATAAACATTATGACTTTATGGGACACTTGCATATCGAATAGGCCTATACAGGTGATCGACAAATTGGTTGCATTCGGTTAGAAATGTCCAGTGAAGGAAAATTCACCCGTTTGTTTTGTGGCAGTAATACTTATTAGGGTTTCACACTGTGGATCTTGTATGAAACACTAGTGGGTTTTTTTTCAGATTAATATTATTATTTATTTTTTCTGTTTCCACTCTGCTTATTTCGCTAAAACTGCCCATTGGATCACTTTGTGTTTGAGAGCAAAGCCTGGAAATGTGACATTTAAAGAAAAAGATAGGTTGCCAGGCAACGAAACATACGCCCACAGCGGCTAAATCGTCCGAGCGGTCAACAAGGGTTGTCGCATATTTATTCCTTTGTAGGTAATTGGGGGCCTTTACAAGACAGTTCAATACAGATCAGATTATAATTTTTGCTGTTGGGGGTTTACATGGTTCTACAAATTGAAACAAGAGTCTCAACTCTGGAAGTAACTACAGAAATTGTTGAAATTTGACAGGCTTTTTTGTTTCACAAATTTAAATGATGCATATAAATTTCATACATATCGGATGATAACTTTCATCAATCGAGCATTAAAAAGGTTGAACAAAGTCAAACAAGGGCCATAACTCTACAAGTAATAAACGGAAATTGCTGAAATTCAATTGGCCTCTTCGTTTCCCTAATTTAAATATTTCATATAAATTTCACAAAGATCGGATGTTAACTTTTGGCATTACAGCGTTCACAAGGTTCAACAAAGCGAAACAAGGGCCATAACTCTAGAAATTATAAACGGAAATTATTGAAATTAAATAGGATTCTTCGTTTCACTAATTTAAATAGGGCATATAAATTTCAGAAAGATAGGATAACTTTTGGGGTTAAAGCGTTCACAGGGTTAAACAAAGTGAAACAAGGGCCATAACTCTAGAAGTAATAAACGGAAATTGCTGAAATTCAATAGGCCTCTTCGTTTCCCTAATTTAAATATTTCATATAAATTTCACAAACATCGGATATTAACTTTTGGCATTACAGCGTTCACAAGGTTCAACAAAGCGAAACAAGGGCCATAACTCTAGACATTATAAACGGAAATTATTGAAATTAAATAGGCTTCTTCGTTTCACTAATTTAAATAATGCATATAAATTTCAGAAAGATAGGATGATAACTTTTGGGGTTAGAGCGTTCACAAGGTTAAACAAAGTGAAACAAGGGCCATAACTCTAGAAGTAATAAACGGAAATTGCTGAAATTCAATAGGCTTTTTCGTTTCCCTAATTTTAATATTGCATATTAATTTCACATAGATCGGATGATAACTTTTGGCATTAGAGCGTTCACAAGGTTCAACAAAGTGAAACAGTGGCCAGAACTCTAGACGTTAAAAACAGAAATTATTGAAATTATATAGGCCCTTTCATCTCACTAATGTAAACAACATATATCAATTTTAAAACAATTGGATGATAACTTTTGGCGTTAGAGCGTTAACAAGAAATTGTGGACGAACCGACGGACTGACCGACGGGGGCGACGGCAATATACGTCCACATTTCTATGTGGCCGTATAAAAAAAACAATTTTTTTAGTTTTCAAATTTTTTTCTTGAAACTTTGTAGGTAGATAGGTACTTTACATTATTACAAGGCAAAGCAAATAATTGATTACGTAATCT